TACTTTGTATTTGAATCTTGACCGAGCTTCAAGTTGATTTATTTCATACATTTTATAATTTTGTTAACTATTAAGTTACTATTTGTGAAGTAGGGGACTGAGTAAAAGAATTAGAAGTCGACACCATAATTATTAAAGCAAGACTTACTTATTATTAATATTTTAGTTAAATGCAAGTGGTAGTGTTTAGGGTCACCCATTATTGAGATTAATTTTACTTTAGCGATGTTACTATCATCATTTATAATTTTAAAATTTTATTTTTGGGGCCTTGATCATCGACATTTGACAGTTAAAACTAGTCGACAAAATGTTTGCCATGACATCAAGTTAAAAATAATGTTAGGTCGCTTTTGTGGGCGTTGTTAGTTAAGTCAACTGCATCCAATATTGAATACAAGAAACCAAATTTCCTCGAGAAATATCATCCATTCGAATTCATGGTTTAACGAGTCAAAATATAAAATTTAAAGTTAAAGATTTTATAATCAAACGGCTCAGAATGAATAATAAAAGATTCGATGCAAGAAAAAGCTATCCCATACACCGACAATCAAATTAATGCAAATATATATAAGATTAAATCTTTAATTTGATTTCTGAATTATTATGTGGATCTTTAATTTAGTTTTTAAATTAAAAAAATTTTTAATTTAATTCTAAATTATTATACGGATCTTTGATTTAATTCTTAATGTTTATTGATTTAGTCCTAAATTGATTATTTTATACAAAAAATAACTAATGTTTTTATTACTTAATTGTTAAAAATAATTACTTAACGGTCATGTATCACATTAATAAAGAGATACATCAGCTATTTTTTATATTGAAGGGTCAACTTAAAATAAATTGATAAATAATAAAAATCAAATTAAATATCTATATAATAATTCAGATACCAAATTAAAGATTTAAGCTATATATAATGCCTCACGATCCATGCGGATCCGCATAGTCATTCAAGATTTCACGGTTTAGTTTTTAAAATTAAAATATTGAGATTAGATTTTATAAATAAAATAATAAATATTAAAAGAGTTTTTTTAATGAAATTTAACATAAGTCAATAATAATTTAGTTAAAAATCAATATAATTTTTAAATATAAAGAGATTTAACATAAAAAAAAAATTGTGTTAGCTTTCAAAGGAAAACAAGGCAAATGTAAATTTTTGTCAATATTACTTACTCTATTTGTTTTAAAATAATAGATATTTTTAAATTTTATTTTTATATTAAAGATTTAAAAATAATTTATAATTTTATTTATATTACTATTAAGAAAATAAAAATAATGAGATTTTTTATGATTAGATAAATAATTAAACTCAAGAATTATTGATATGAGTAAAATAAACCAATATTTATCTTTATGTTTTAGGGTAAATTTTAAATGTTATAAAAACCACATCTTATTTTGGAACAGATGCAGCAAAGGCAAGTGTCATTGTCCAAATTGCACTTGAATGTTTCTTTCTTAAAACCCAACTGATGTTTAATTTTTCTTCTTTAAAATAAAAGTTATAAAAAAAACCAAAAAAAGTCAATGCCAGAACTTTAATTACTTGATTGGGGCAGAATTCTGCCCAACCATTGCTCATGAAGATTACAGTAAGATGATTTAATTGGAATTAATATACTATTATATACAAGCATGACCCACCTATGTAGAACTAGATTTTAGTAGTTAACACCAATGAAAATTTTTAAAGTTTTTAAGTATTAGATCCCTGACTAATAGAAGTGTAAAAATAAAAATATCAAACATTAACCATACATATAGACACAATAAAAAATTTCCCTGACTTTGTAGGAAATTCACAGTTTAGAGGTTTGAACTGAAAATATACCCTCCAGCATTTAAAGGAAAAATGGGGTACGTGGCCCATAAGCAACCATATGGCTAAAATTGTGGTTTATTTTATTTCTGTATCATTTTATTATTGCTAAGAAGAAAAGGACAGCCAAGCTACTAATTAAAGGTTTGTTCAACCTGTTACTTAAGAAAAGGAGGCTCTTTTTTAGTATTAATTGTTATTAAAAAAATAAAATTTGATTTTTATTTAATTGATTATTTAATTAAAAGATTTTATTTTATTTTTTGAATAAAGTGTCATGGGTGGGATTCGAATTTTGAATCTATCAAGAGGAGGAGGATTGTACATTCATGGTGGCTCGAAGGGTAGGTGCATTAAAAGATTTTATATAATATATATAAATGATGAAATTAATATCAAATTTTATCATTCTTAATATTAACTAATATAAAAGTATATATTAAGTACACTTTTATGACAAACATGCTAGAAAAATCCATTATTTAAAACTGAAAAGAACTCTGGCCTGAACACCTAACTTACTGTTTGCCTAATCAATTTTGCTCTCGCCATGGCCCAGGGACCTGCTCATATGGATTGTGAAAATTTTAAAATAAAACTTATATATAACTTAAAATTAAATTTACAATGGAAGATTTATTTTTCTTATATTTACCGTACTTGTTTTATTAATATTCTATTGATATGTAGAATTTCCTCTCTTGGCATGGATTATTTGGTGCCCAAATCTTATATGAGGGAAGAAGTTAGTTTTATATATATATATGAGGGAAGAAGTATATATATATAAAAGTAATATTGTTTGTTCACGTATAAATTATTAAACTTGATCAACTCGATTTGATTAAAGACTTAAACTACATTCCAGTTATAATTAGATGATTACAAAGAAAAAAAAAAATTTCCAGATTGGAAATTGATGACGTTAATCTAAAAGTTTAGTATGCACAGGCCAGCATAAAAAGGGAAATACGCAAAGTTCAACCGCTAACATAAAATAAAAGAAAGACGAAAACCAATCCCACTTAAAATGAAGATGAACCGTACCATTTCTTTGATCACCTTCAAATATTTGTAGTATTTATTATTAATTCTATATATATGTATATATATGTCAATAATTTAAATACCTTAATGGTAATTTTTTCACTAGAAATAAAAAATCTTAAATTTAATTTGTATAACATATAAATGAAGTAAGTTAAACCATAAAACAGAGTTGCATTTTATTGTGCAATCCAAGATAATATGTTGTATATATATATATATATATGAAAAAGTGTATATTAATCTTGATATTTAGATTTAGAAACTAATTATATTAGAATATATAATTGATTTTCAAATCTATATATTAATATTTAACATGATAAGATTTCAATTTTTATATGTAGATTAAAACTCTAATTATTTTTTAGAATGAAAACTAAGACACATTAACCTCATATATATATATATATATTAAAACAAGGGTTTGAGTAGGAAAAATTGGAAGAAAAATATAATTTTTATTTATATTTAAGACTGTTTATATTATTTTTCCTTTGCAATAATACTTCAATTGCTAGTAAGGTCCAAGCATGGATTAATATTTATTCATTTCAATAGGATGAGTTAGATCCTAATGTCTAACATCCAAGACCATTATTTAAATGGCTGATGCATACGTGATACGGCAAATGTCGCAATCTAATTAATGTGAGAAAGTTGGTTTTAGAAACAATGTACCCATATAATAAATTCTGTTTAGTTGAAACTTGAATAATTGAATTCATATATATTATTAAGATATTAGTGTTTAATTGCTAAATATATATAAAAAATTAAATAAAAAATACTTCAAACTACATATCATGAAAAAATATTAAAATAATTTTATTATTAATTTAAAACTAAGCTGTTTTAATCTTTTTTTAATAAAAATTTATTTAATACAATATAATTTTAAAATATTTTTCAACTTAACTTTTTACAAGTAAGACTAATAAATATTTTTCTCTAATTGTATTACTTGTATATCATACGTATCCATTAGTGCATGCCTTGAAGACGGCCTCATGCACTGAATAAGTCTTCTTTATGCGATATTTAGCTTAGCCTTTTCTAATAAATTTAAACTACAAGATTAGATTTGGGCCATTTCGGTGCTTATTATATATGATGATTAGTCCACACGGTCGTTTTTCTCTAATTTTAAAGAATAATTTATGTCTATTCACAATATATACTTGCATGGTGCCATGCATATTTTGTGAGCATGTAAACAAGTTGTGCAACGCCGCAACTTGAAGATTGAACGTATGAAGTCAGTATGAGGTGTGCTTTTAGAGAGAGGAAAAAAAAAAAAAAAAGGTGAAATACACAGCAAAATATTTATTTGCTTTTCCTTATGAAAGATTGTAATCTTAGGGTCGATTTGACATTATATGTCTAATGCGAATTGATTTGGTGACCTAATCAAGGACGATGCATCAGCACTGAGATTTTTTTATTTATCCAGTCTGAACAGCCAATCAGTTGCACGAATTAATATTGTTAATATATTTTTTCTGAAAATACACTAAAATTATGGGTGATGATATTAACTATAATTTTTTTGTATTATTTTTTTATATAATTTATTTGTGTCAATAAATGAATCAGTGTATTTAATATCACGAGTTTCAAATGAATAAAAAAAATTAATCATTTAAATAATACATAAAATTATACAAAAATATGATACAAAAAGATCGTATTTAAACCATTTTTCAAAATTATTGACTTTTTTTCTCCCCCTTTAATGCAATGTGGAAACATTGGATAAAAATTTTCCATCATTGAAAAAAAAAATTCTCTTTTCTTTATCACAAAGATATGAATTTGAAACGTCTATTTCATAATTTTTTTTTTGGGCCACAAACGATAGCCTTATTTCATAATTTTAATTAGAAAATTAAGGTAAATTATGAAGCAAGCATGACATAATATGAATATCTATTCTTTGCCTGCAATAATTACGTTCTCTGCCGTTTTGAGCATGCTGATTTATTTTTCTATGTCAAAGAAATTCATTTTCAAGAATTAGAGATATTTCTGAAGATTCGCTTATTTTGTTCAATGAGAGGCACTGTATATGTTCTTTTTTTCAGAGAGTAGAAAGAGTACAAAAACAATATACAAATTATATACTGTACAAATATATCGATTTAAGTATAGTATAAAAAAGTTAAAAGAAAAAAAAAAAAAAAAAGCTTTTAGAAAGCCCGTTATACATAAGAGTAAAACCCATAACTTTGAAGTTATGAGGTCTCAATCTTTGCCACTGGGTTGGCCACCGTATATGTTCTTTTAACCTAAAAGAAATGTGAATGTTTAATGGTAGCACATATCTTATCTTCCTACAGACAGTGAATGCTGATTTGTCCATGGGCTCCTTGTGGGTTTCTACATATGGTATAATGTTGATATAGTTTTCCTGGGAAACAATATGCATGCTATGTCTATTGACTTCACTACAACATGGATGCATAATCAGATACACTACGCTTAACCACCTTTACCATTCGTTTTATTCTAATGATGATCTTTTAGAATCTGAAAATCTGAAAAAGATAAATGCTTATCAGGTGTTTATCTTGAGCTAGTTGGTTCAATGGTTGCCTATTTTATGAGTCCAAGTGCCCACCATTTGAATCTTTTTGGGCTACAGGAGTCCATTGATCAATCAAAAAGAATAAACTCTCTAAACTTCTAATTTTGTATTTGTACATAAACTATATAATAGAGATACCTTTTTCTTCTGAAATCTCTCCCCATCCATTTTGGAATTTAAATTTAAAAGATTCAGTATAAAAATTTAAATTCTTAACAATTAGAATATCTTATATGAACTTTATGCACTTCTAATTTCTAAAGATTACCTAGACCATTTTAAAATGACGTTTTGTAGGCTTTTTCTTTGATAGCAAGTATAAGTGTGTAAAATGAAATGCAAAAAGTGTGAAAAATTCATAAAATATAATATAATCCACTACATCAAAAAAGAAATTAAATCTGAAACATTATGAAATAACTTGGAAACCTTAAAAGATCTTGTGGGGCATCTTCAAAGAGGAGGCATCAATGGCAAGTTTTACGATCACCTCTTTTTAGTAAACAATGCAAGTTGGCCTAAGAAAATACAATTTTTCATCATCAAGATCAGATTGTGGACCAAGAAGCCATTATCTGCTGATTATTTTTTAACAATTCAAGGCCGATTTCAAAGAAAGGAACAGTGGTGCACTACTCCTTGTCTGGAATCGTAAGCAAAAGGTAAAACCCCTATGATATTTATGCTTTAATTGTCTTTGATTGATCAGAGGGAAGTACTATTGTGAGATGCACAACCAATTGAAATTAAGAAATCAGAGAGGAAAGATCAACCGATTGAAATTAAGAAATCAGAGAGGAAAGATCAAAGGGTCACTGCCAAGTTGTCATAACATGCCACCAGAAGAAAAGTCACGCCTGCGCTAAATTGTCGAAACGTGTCCGCAAACAGTGCTTAAACGGTTCATCCATAGGCTGATAATAGGCAGGTCTTCGTGGGAAGCATCACCATTGCATATTATTGTTTGGCTGTCAGTAATTATTATTTCTTAGTTCAATTATAAAAATAAGTTAAAATAGAGAAACTTTCATGAGGAATTAAGAATTCGTTTTGTATAATGAATTAGAGGTAATAATTAATAATTTTATTCAAATCATTAAAAATAAGTATTTAATAAATTTATTTATTTTGAAACTGTTATAATTAAATAAGTGTTTGATAAATTTATTTATTCTTATAAAGTTTTTATTTAGCGATTTAAAACTAACAAGTAGTGGATAAGGTCCAAACTACTAATAATTAAATTGAAAAAGCTATTCAAGATAATTATTTATACCAAATCGTTAGTAAATTGTAATTTTTTAATTTTAC